GTTTGATCCCCACGTGACACTGCGCATAGACACGTTTTGATCCCCACGTGACGCCTGCGCATAGACACGTTTTGATCCCCACGTGACGCCTGCGCATAGACACGTTTGATCCCCACGTGACGCCTGCGCATAGACACGTTTTGATCCCCACGTGACGCCTGCGCATAGACACGTTTTGATCCCCACGTGACACTTGTGCATAGCTGTGGGGCGCAGTGTGATGCTCGGTGCCCACATGCAGGGTGTGGCCGTCAAACCAGGGTGATTCGCGGTTCCATCTCTCCGTAGACGATGCTGGGAGCCTCCTCCAGCCCCGCCCCTCTTGTTCCTCATAAGATGAACTGCCAAGTGTTGGCAGCTGTGGTCTCTGAGCGCTAGGGCTCACCCCTTCCTCCTGTCTGGGAGCCCCTCGTCCACCGGCTCCTGCAGCCCCTCGATCTCCTCTGTAGCTCGGAGCTGCTCCGCAGCTTCCACATGGGCGGGACACGTGGCTTCTGCCTCTCTGTGTCTGGTTTCTTCCTCTCACACGATGAACCACAGCTGGGCCCGTTGTGCTACTGCTGCTGTTTGTGGCTGCAGCCACTCGTCACCGCACTATTCTCAGCAGCTAAGGTGTGGCTCCATCTTGTTCATTATAGTTTATATGTGTGTGTCTTTGTGAGGCAGAGTTTCCCTAGATAGTTCTGACTGGCCTTGAACTCACTGTGTAGTCCAGACTGACTTCACAGAGATCCTCCTGCCTCAGCCTCCCAAGTGCTGGGATTACACATGTGCACCACCACGTCTGGCTCTTTATTGTCCTTTTTTTTTTTTTTGAGACAGAGTCTCGCTATGCGGTTCAGGCTGACCTCGAGCTCACTTTGTAGCCCAGGCTGGCCTCGAACTCACAACGATCTTCCTGCCTCAGCCTCCCGAGTGCTGGGATTACAGACGTGCACCACCACGCCTGGCTATAGTTTTGTATATTTAGTTTTAACTGTTTTTGAAAAATAAAATCAAAAGTGTATTTATAAAATCTAAAGTATTTTCTATAGTTTCCTTATGTGTTAGCATTGGAGTTTCACAATTCGTCTGGTTTTTGTTTTTGTTTTTCTTAGCCCATGGTGAGGTAGGTAAGGGTCATGGCCCAGTGGGGTGTTGGCAGCTGTGCATAGCGCGTCTTTCTTTCTTTTGCGTGGCCCTGCTGTCTTTCAATGTTGATAGAATAGATGTTGCTCATTAATTTTTCGCTATTGCTGGACATTTCTGTCTCCCTGGTTACTAATAGGACTGGGTCTCTTTCCATGTACTTGTTTATGGCCATTTCTGTTGTCCATAAAGTGCCTTTCATGTCTTGTTATTTTCCTACTAAATGCTTGACTTTTTCTTGCTGATTCACTGGTATCTTCTACGATTTTGCACATGAGCCTCGTTAATGTCATTATTAGACTGCCGCTCAAAGCCTGCCGAGGTGGTTTGTCTGGTTAGGCTCTTCCTGACGCCTGCGGGTGGACAGAAGCCCTCAGTCTTGGCCGCGCAGACGCTCACCCTGCCGTGTGTGCGGTTGCTCTGAGAGCCCCTTCCCTGTGCTGTGCTCGTAAAGAGAATGCTGTCAAAGTGTCGTCATTTTGCCTTTCCCGGTGAGTCTTTAGTCCTGCCTCAGGCCGAGCTGGGGAGCACGTGGCCTTTCTAGAGCCAGCCTCTTCCTCCCTGGCGGGTGATGCTGCTCATCCGGCCCGGAGCTGCCCAGGTGCTGGGGCCTGAACGGGTCACAAGTGTCCCTGGCCGCAGGGCTGCGGGCCTGAGACTCCGACCTTGTCCTCCCTGCCTGCGCCAGTGAGCTGCCCGCGTGGTACACCCCCTGTGGTCGTGGTGCTGCCAGCATTGGCAGCAGGATTAGCCCTTCCGGAGGGGCAGTCTGGACAGAATTCGGTGCATCACAGCGCGGGTTCTGACCTCCTGTGGCCAGGAGCACAGTGGTTCCCAGGAAACCTGGAAGCCAGGCTAGGTGGAGTCAGGAGGTGTGGTAGCTTCCGAAAGTCGTGACCCCTAGGGGTGGTCCTGGGAAGGGCGGGGCGGGCAGGAAGGTGAGACCGACGCTGGCTTCAGCCAGGTCTGAGGAGGCGGGCTGACGTCACAGGCTGGGGCGGGGGCGGGGGCGGTCTTTGAGAGGGAGAGCAGGACCCCGAGCAAGGCAGCCGCTCCGGAGGAGCCCACGTGTGACGGTGAGTGCCCCGTCCTGAGGGCCTCGCCAGGACGCGTCTTGGCATCACCGCAGCAGGGTAACTGGGTGTTTTCTGAGCACGGCCTATAATGTTACCCACAGGCTCAGCAGCTGGCCCGCGCTGGCCCAGCCAGCGACCCTGAGTGCCTCGGTTCAGCCAGCTTCTGAGCCGGGAAGGGCGGCGGGTGCTTCTTTCCCGACTCGGGAGAAGCGACAGTGCAGATCATCAGCCTCCCCTCCGCCCTGTGCATCGTCTGAGCTGTGCCCCTCATCTCTAAGAGGAAACAGGAACGGTGACCGGGTCCCAGCAGAGCGACTTGAGGAGCAGCGAGGACACGCACTTGGGAGGTGGCAGGCGTCCCCCGCGGCTGCGCTCGGTGGCCGTTTGCAGTCACCACCCGCAGGGCGCCTGGGGGTCCTCTCACCCCCAGCTCCTATCTCATGGCTCCAGGGTTTCTGTCCGGCCGTTGGTTCCTGGTGGCCCCGTGCCGCAGGGTCATGGCCCTCGCCCACCCTGGACGCCGTGTGGTTTAGGGACAGGGCCTGTGGCCCACCACACCTCCATAAATGGATCCTGCTTCTTTGATCACAGTGGCCACAGGGATCGTGTGTACTCAGAGTGGCCCAGAGGACCACAAACCAGAGCGTAAATTACAGAGCTGACGTCCGCAAGGGTCGTGTCCTCCAGGACACGTGGCCTGGGGTCTCTAATTTCTGGGTTGCAGACTTCTCAGGACCCCCACCCCAGCCAGCCCGTGGGGTTGACATTGCTCACCCTGCAACGGCCCCTGTGTGCTGCCCTGGGCCCTGTGGGTGTTGCTCCTGAGTGGTGAGGCTCTCCACACGTTCAGGGCACTGCCTGGGCCCTGCGCCCTGTGCTCTGGGCACAAGGCCAGGCTCCCCCTGCGCCGCCCTCCGCCTTGGCAGGGCTCGCGTCTGCTGCCGCCTCTCCCACAGGGACACACAAACCCCGGCCAGAAGCCCCCTAAGTCCCCTGGGACCTGACCCCCGCTGCCCCCTGCATTGAAACGCCTCAGGGCTGCTGGGGAGGGGGCATCACGGCGCTGAGGAGGAGCCCGTGCGTGGTGAATTCCTTGCTGTCCACTGGGCCCCACGCTGCACCCTGAAATAGACCTGTCAGCTCGCGTCGGCAGCAGAGTGCGCAGTATCTATCCCAAGCACTGTGCGGCGAGGCTCTTGTTCCCCTGAGAGGCTTGGAAGACCTGCAGAGAGGCCTGGGGGTGTGAGACCTTGGGTCTGTCGCTGTGCTTTCCTGCTGCTCACCAGCCTGGCAGAGACAGCCCTGGCAGATTGTGTGGTTGGCCCAGATTGGACTCACGATCCCCTTGCTATAGAGCTCGGTGCCGCTTTGAAAACCCCTGACTGGCCGATCCGTTGACTGATTGATGCATGCATTTCACACACAGTTACTGGGTTTGCCAAGACGCGTTCATGGCGCTGGGAAATCAGAAAAAAAAAAAAAAAAAAAAAACCACAGAGTATCTGGCTGTTGCATGTTATAGAACTGACACTCCAGCTGGAACATGGTGGCACACACCTGCACTTGGGAGGCTGAGGCAGGAGGACTGCCTTCAGTTCAAAGCCAGCCTGGGCTACATAGCAAGAGCCTATCTCAAAAAGCCAAAATCTAAAATGAAATGAAAAAGTACATTCCAATGAAGGAGGCAGAGGAAAGATAAGTGGGCAGCAGGGTGAGGCTGGCCTCAGCCTTGCTGCTCAGATGGGTGGACGGAGGCGGTGACAGTTACGTGGCACCAAGCGAGAGGAGGGGGCCGTGTGGGAGAGCTGGGCTTGAGCAAAAGGCTCAGTGGGAGAGCAAGGGTGGAGGCTGCTGCGCATTTCCGGGCAGATGAGGTTGGGCTGTGCATGGGGCTGAGCAGAACAGAGGGCCGGGCGGAGCCGCAGCCAGTTCCTGGGTGGCTGGAGCTGAGGAGCAGGAGGAGGAGGAGGAGGAGCAGGAGGAGGAGGAGGGGGAG